CAACGCCCCGAGATGGCGAGCTGCTCGAGCTATTCACCATGCTGATAAGAATGGCGATGGACGTATTGATATGACCGTGGAGTTAGATCAACTTGTTAAGTATGCAAGAAAACATGGGTGTACACTAGCTTCCGCTTGTTGTAAGAAGTAAATCAATAACTATGTACGTGAAAAAATTGCGTTTTTTTTTTTGGCCTTTCTAGGGTTTTAGAATATGGTCAAAGTATGTCTATATGGTTTGATCATCATGTTTGTACTTTCTCTTTATGTAAGTTTTGCTATATAGGCCTATAGCTTTTTTGGTTTTTCGTTTGGTGTCCAGAATTTGAATTGGAGCCTCAACTAAATTCGAATCGCACACTATAGCGTCCATTCGGGGGTATGATGCTCCCAATAGAATTTTCTCCATATCCAGCGAACCTGAGACCTCTGATTAAGTGTACATTGAAACAGTCACACCCCTAAACCACAACTCAGATAGTAGCATTATATTATTACTTGTACTAATGGATTTTTTAGCACTCCAATAGCTTAGCCTTTTTCATCAAGTTATTACTCTTTGAATTCCAAAATACTATATATCTGGCGATCTAGCTAGAGAGTTAAATTACATGAATTTTAATTGGCTAAGAAATAAATTCTTTTTTTAAATGCGGGAAAGAGAAGATTCTAGGAGGGATTTTTGTCTTCCTAGTCTTCGACACAAAAAAAGGATGTAGAAAAAATCATTTTCTTGTATCGAAACGAAAGAATAATGATTTTTTATCTTATTTGTTAAAAACTCCTAGTATTGATATCATTTTTTCCAGATATATTAGAAACCCTTTACGCTACACTCATTCCATTTACGTATAATATACGAACCGGTAAACAAACAAAACAATAAAAGAGAGGAAATTTTCTTCATTAAATATATAACTTCTTCAATCAACTTATCTTATACTAGAAAGTTTTATGGTGAAATAGCAAAACAATAAAACATAAATAAAGTAATATAATGTATACATAGACAGAGAGTAAGATTCTACGTTAGATTAGTATTAGAAGGATTTCTTAATTCTCACTTTAAAAGTACCGATAGATATTATTATTTTTGAATTTTTGAAACATACGTACAAATGATACAAATGAAATAGCATCACATCAAATGAAAAAAAGAAAGAGTATTTTTAATAAATACTAAAAAAGGCATTAAGTCAATTATAGGCAGGCAACAACTAATAATTATATCATAAACCACACAAGGAAGATAAGGATATTATGAAATGAAATGTTAGAAAAGATATCTTGAAATTATCAACTTTAAGAAGAAAAAAATACCAGTAGTATATTTTTCTTTACAGTCACTCTTATCCAGTTGAGTGTTTGAAGTATTATATTCTTCGTGATACACGTTGTATGCCACTCTTTTAATTTGATTCGATTCTTATTAACAGCTACGTGGTTCATCAAAGACAATTACCGTGACCAACATAGTTGTGGTGCAGTGATGAAACTGTTTCATCCTTTATCAAAGGTCTCAGATTTTTCTAACAAGTTGTTAAAAATAGAAATATGATATCCCTACCATCACAAATTAAACGGAAAGTTTTTGCAAATTCTGAAACTTGAGGGGGGACATCTCACAAATTCCATATTATCAAGGACTCAATCAAATAATTTAATCGAAAAAAATGAATAAAGTTTCAATAAAAAGATGCTGCACCCACTAGAACAGTAGTTATATATAATCATAATTTGTACTTAATTCCTCATCCATCGGAGAGTTCGCATTCAAATACAAAAAAATAAAAATTACAATATGTTGGATATTTTCCGTCCGAGGAACATCATACGATGTACGTGTGGACATGTACCTTTGACTGAAGTTCAATTGACGAATATATTCAAAAAATGTGATTTCAACGGGGATGGCTACCTCACCAAGGAGGATCTCACGGAGGCATTCCGGCAGCTGGGGTCCACTTTCCCGGGATATCGAGCGGGCCGAGCCCTCCACCGGGCTGATAAGAATGGTGATGGGCTTATTGATAAGAAAGAGTTGGATAAACTTGTAGAGTATGCAAGAAAACGTGGTTATAGGCTAAGAAATGCTTGTTCCAACTAGTAGAAGGAGTTAATTAGTTATAAGTGTAGTTTCACTTATAATTGACCTTCAAGATTGTTAAATAAATAAATTGTGTTTTGTGGTAATTGAGTGTAGTTGGACGTAGACTCTTTTTTTTTTTGTATGTCAGTTCATGTCTTGTACAAGTGGAGATCTATATGGATGCTTTTGAGTTTTCAGAGTGACTATGTAAACTTTTGGTATTAGTAAGTAGCCGTGTGGGTATGAATTGGGTGATATTTGAAGTTAAATTGAAAAAAAAAACGGACTTGGCAGTGATTTCTCAAAAAAGAGTATTTGAAGTTGAATAAAAAAAAAATTTAAAAAAATCGTATTAAAAAATATTTTTTGCCTTGGCAGTGATTTCTCAAAAAAGGCAGCGAAATGACTTCTTTTTTTAAAAAAAAAAAAAAAATTTTACAAAAATCGCTGCGTATTTTTTTTTACTAAAATCGCTACCTGTGGAGCGATGCTAATTTTAATTTTATAAATATATTTTTTTTTATAAAAACGCTGCCATAGAAGGATTTTATTATTTTTTTTAAAAAAATCGCGCAAAATGCTGCACATGTAGCGATGTTCTTAAAAAAAGGGAAAAAAATTGAACAAAATCGTTGGTAGGTCAGCGATTTTGATTCTTTTAACAGAGTAACGGCGTCAGAAAAAAATCTCTACGTCAGGAGCGTTTTTACCCTTTTGATTAAAAAAATAAATGATGTGCCCCTTTAAAAATTTAGACAATTTTTTTTGCCCTCTAGGCTCCGGACTTCTTAAAAGTTAAGTTGTGTGCAAATTACGAGGTACATGCAACTATTCGTACATCGTAGGTCATGTCCAATCTCATAGAGTTGGGGTTGTTTGGTTATTTGCGTTTACAAGACATGTTTCTCCTGTGAATAATAACAAAAGAGTTATTACGCATTTAATAAATACTAAAAGTGTTTATAAGTAAAAAATAATCAAAAGTCATAAATTGGTTATCCTCAACAAATATTTTATGACTAATTTTGAAATACTCTTAGTAAAAATGTATTCGTAATTATCTATCTCTTCATTCTAGTTCTATTATTCATCCTTTAATTTTATATTTAAAATACTTTAAAATTTGTATATTTTTTAAGTAACATTAAGAACATTTCAATTATTTTAACAGAAAAAGATATTATCATGAGAGATTCGTTTAGTAGCTGCCTTCCTAGCCATTAGGATTAAACTTCAGTCTTTTCGAATCAATTAACAATATAGTATTCAAAGTTGGATCAATATGATCCAAAATTGATTTTAACAAATTTAACTATACTCACTTGTTACACTTTTTAATCCATTAACTTACTCCATAAGCCGTTAAAGTGGCATTATATTTTCTACTATAATAAAATAATTTACACAGTTGCGTAAAAGTGAAGCATCTATGTGTTTTTATTGTTATAAATGTGAAGTCATTTCATCACCTAAGTTATACCACGTCTCAATCACAAACTAGTTTTTATCGCTTTATGGCATTCAAAAGTATCGAATATCGTAGCGTTTCCAGCGATGGAAAATGTGAAATGACTTTGGCAGAATTCAAGAGATGGTTGAAGAAATTCGATGAAAATAAGGATGGAAAGATTAGCAAAGAAGATCTCCAGGAGGCGGTCCGATCGAACGGAGGCTGGTTCCGCCGGATAAAGGTCCATCGGGCTGTTAAATCTGCTGATGTTAACGGCGATGGATCCATTGATGAGGATGAAATCATGAACCTCGCGGAGTTCGCGTTGAAGCACTTAGGTATTAGGATTGTGTCTTATTAATTTTCATGTTTGTATGTTTGTAACAATAACTAACTATTTCTGTTGGAGCTTCGATGGACAGAGTTACATTGATATATATGTACGTGTGGTGTTTCAAGATGGTCACTAGACAATTTCCAACATGTTGTACCACACAAACCAAAACATAAATACATATCCATATTTGAATTAATTTTGTAATGATATAATAGTTAACGAGTTCCTTAAAAATGAGAAAAATGACTTCTCTAATAAATAAATAAAAAACAAGTTCCACACGTGTGTCCTACCCACCCTCCACCACACTTCCTTTTCACCCCACCCTATAGCCCCCTCCACCACTCCATACCCTGTAGTAAGAAATTCACTTTTTTTTTTAAAAAAAAAAACTTCCTTCATACCGAACACACCCTAAGCTACGTACAGTAGATTTACTGTTAACTTATGCAACGAAGCTAAATTTTTTGTTTAGTTTCACACTCCCTATATTTGCGTAGCCTTAGGCTCTCCTCTCTCTCTCTCCCTTTTTTGGCCAACACCATTTTCACTGAGTCAACCTAAAATATAATGAACAGAAGGAAAGGAGATCAGAAAGACATAGGCGAACAACTTCACTATAGGTATAGGCTGAATGTTTTCGTGAGCAGTAAGCAGCATATCTCCCCTTATTTTGGGAAAGCTAATGGCCGCGTGTGAATTTTTTCAAGGCAAAGGGTAGCCTGATTCAATATTGTTGTTTACTCTGATCCGATCGAGGTGGTTTTTATTTACCAACATTCTAAAATCCTATGAATGAGAACTTGATCTAAAGTACTCTTATATTACCAGCAATTAGAAGTTCTGAGACACAATTTTCTTTCAATAGTTAATGAATCCATAGAGCAGCATATATATATATAAATAAACATAGAACTCCAATGTTAAAATTATCAAGCACGAAAACACTACCTCATGGTAATAACACTTTTGCCCATATAACAAGAGTTTATATAGGTGACCAAAACCTCTGCAGCTTCTTATGAACTATTACAACATTTTACAAAGTCCAACTCATTCGATCGTTATGGAACTTATTTGTAATTTCCTCCGAAAATTGTTTATATACATGAACGCAGAGCAAATGAGTAAAAAGCAACTATTGATGCATGCTAGTAACTTCCATGAGCAATAGATACAGTTACAGTGAAGCTGTCTTTGGTTAAGCCAAATGTAATTACCAACTCGTCTCTTTATGCAAATAAAGTAAAAGGAGAGAAAAAATACAACAAAGGTTCGCATTGTGAGTCCACTCACACGTGTTTTCTCTTAGCATGCGATATGCAGATCAAGAAGCTATTCTCACATAGTCAGCCTCCGTAAGCTGCACATATGAGCAAACAAGACGGACGGTCATTAAAATGAATGTAATGGTGAAAATGCTCTGATGCTCCACGTCAAGATAGCTAACTGTGAGGGGAACAATTGAAACTCGAGATATCACAGATTAATATCTCTTTGCTCTATCAAATGCTAAACGGTCAAGTATAAAAAGGGGCAGCCCGGTGTACTAAGCTCGCTCTATGCGCGAGGTCTGGGGAAGAGCCGGACCACAAGAGTCTATAGTATGCAGCCTTACCCTGCATTTCTGCAAGAGGCTATTTCCACAGCTCGAACTTGCGACCTCCGGGTCACATGGCAGCAACTTTACCAGTTAAGTCAAGGCTCTCCCCTTCTATATGGTCAAGTATCATCTTTGTGAAAAAAGAAAAGCTAAGAAATCCAACCTGCTCACTGAGGACATGGGTGGAAACAAGTCATTAACACAACCATGTAGACAGGAGTATGACATTGTATCTGTGTTGCGCTTTAGAACAATTTGACCCTGTACACCATCATAATAATATCATCAAAAAACTGCTACTTGCAAAAGGTCCATTACAGTTAACTTCTACATACCTTTGAATTGATGGTGAAGATTTTTCCTTCAGGTATTTCAACCTTGAGGTAGCAGATTTCGTCAGTGTCCCTGTTCCCAAAACCAGCATAAAAAGGATTCCTATCATAAGGGAACAATGCCTTGATTTCCTGCAATTTGAAAGTCGATACTCAATATGTTATAATCTATAATTTTTGCCAAAGCTAAGATGACCTAAGATGAATTGCCGAAAGTTAGTCACTAAAACGTCTACACGGCCCTAAAGAAGTTGCAAATATTATTATTCCAAGAGAAAATCTCTGGTAAAAAGGAGAGGGGGGGGGGGGGGGGGGGGAACCAAAAAAAAGA